CAATTTGTGTGTGATTTTCTGATTTTTTTATTTATTTATGATATTTACCGCTGTATTAAGAAAAAAATACATTCAGTAAACGTGATAACAGAAAATAATAACATGAAAACGCTTGTTGAGAAACTACTCACTGGTAGCACTATAAAAAAATGTATTGGACATCTCGGGGACATCTTCTTTTCAGACGCAGATGGTTTATCAGGGATCGAGGAGGAAGCAAGATTAGAATCGAGAAGGTTCGAACGGTTCTGAAGTTTATTATGGAAGGACAGACATCTGGATTGGGCCAAATCGGAAACATAAGGAACATTAAGGTCGTTATGGATGGTTTTATTAGTGACGAAGTGGGGAGCATTAAGTATTGGAAACGTGAGGAATTCGATGACTTTGTGGAGCCCCAAATCTCAACTCCGTAATAGGTCTAATTAAATTCGTGTATATGAGTCGTTTATAATTAACTGAAAACTTAGAGCTTTTGTCTAGTAAGTGCTGCAGTAATCGGAAACGTCGAGCGGTTTCTTGTCGTTTCAGGCTAGTATGAGGATTCCAAGTTAGACATTTTTCCGAGTGGAGTCCAAGATATTGGACTTGTTCAAGATTGATAAGTAGGTTATTGTTAAAGGGTAATGTAGGACAACAAAACATAGGTTTACGACTTTTCTGCTTCTAAAAAAACCATTATAGGTATTTTTTTATATAAATACAATTATATCATTGAAAGAAATAGCGTCAAGAAAAAAAAACAATTTAATTTTTTTAAACTTATTTTATTTATTTATTTTCAATACTTCACGTAACGTTTATGACTAATTTGCTCATCTTGAAGCCTGCCTAATTTTGATATCATTTTTTTATTATATTAACATTAAGCACTGCTTCAAATCACTGTTATTTAATATATACATTTCAGTCTTGTTGGTTAGGACTTATATTTACTAGTAATAATAAGAACACTCTTTAGATCACAATAGTCTTACTTTATTTTTTCTCTGTTCCAATTTTTCAAACCGTAGGTCATTTTCAAGATAAGAAACCTATTTTAAAATTAAAATAAATTTATATAGGCTAATTTTCTTAAGATTATAAAATTTACATGAGTAAATCCATATAAACAAGTTAAAAAAATAAAAACTTTTCTCACATTTTTCGCAATGAATTTCCCGTTTCGATCCTCAAATTACTCGCCTGATGTTCTTTAAATCAGCCACCATTTTTTAAAGCAGCGGCTCTGAACGACAGAAAAGATTCTTTTTACTCAGAATAGCATACACTTTCGTTATTTACAATCAAACCTTCATCTGCAATGAGATCGATTTTTGGTTCCATCGATTTTTGGAGATCGATTTTCCGGGTCTATTCGAGGAGATAAGAAGTGTTGCTGTACCGCCTTAGGATTGGATACTGGCAGTGTACACATGACAGTATTTATGAGTTTTTAGTACCTTATTAAATTAATTAATTAAAATGAAGCCATTCACGAAGTTTTAGATGGATATTAATTAATCGAAAAAAGGGTTCTGTACCATGGACTATAGCAAAGTATAGATGCTGGAAGATCTTAAAATAAAGAGGAGATATTTCACACTTCGTAAGAGGGATGACTCAGATAGTACGGTATCTTAGATTGTGTTCGTATTGTCTTAAGGTTTATGAGCTAGAAATCGATATGATTTCGATAGTTAATATCCATCTTATCGATTCTTTGCGTTCCCATCAACTACCGATTGTATACCGCCATTTATGGAGCACGTTTCAGCTCTTTATATTTTTAAGATAAGAAAAGACCTTATTATCTTCGAAGGCGTTACCTTTATTATGTCTTACTTTCGTTTACTTCTGATGACTATCGTTGTACATTTATGTGAAGTTCTACAAATAATTATCTCAGATCTAAAAATAAAAATGTATTATTTTATTTTCACTTCTATTAATTTTGTTTATATTATTGTTAGAAAATCCGATCTTTCAATTATATCGTATTTATCTCATGACTATAATAAAAGTATATATTCCTTGATATTCTAATTATGATAAATTATTTTTTTAAACAATAAAACATTTTTTAATCGAGCAATAATAACCTTTTTTTAATTGGAAAAAGTCCTTCGTTTTCATTGTATTGAAATTTGATTGTTTAATTTTATTTATTTATTTATTTTACACTAGAGAAAAGTTTATGTGTCGGTTAAGAGAATTAGCAATAATTTATAAAACTCATTAAAATACCTGAGATTCAGAAACTTTAGATTTTGATTTTTTCATACTTAATAAACATTTTGCATTGAAATAAAAATATCAAATCTGTGTGCTGCAAAAGCCTGTAAGAACAAAAACTAAAAATTTTAAGGAGACGAAAAAATATGCGTAAATTTTGTTCTATAAGCATTATATTTTCAGTTCAATTGTTGGTACTTGTCAATTAGCCGGGCGGGACGAAACCTCCCTTGTTATCTAACGTTACCTCCCTCTTCTTATCTCGTCAAACCTTTCAGTTATTCACTTATTATATTCAGTTATACAGGAACGCGAAATGGAGATGCTGTCGTAGCACTTGTAACATAAAAGTTTCAATAAGGAATTTTCATCTTTTATATGTACATATGTTGTTTGAGTGTTTTTTTATTATTTCATTTTAATGTTTTATATCCACTATGTGTTGTTTAAGTGTTTTGTTATTATTTCATTTTCATCTTTTATACATATATATATATATATATATATATATATATATATATATATATATATATTTGTCTTAAATTAAAGTATTTTTTTATTATTACATTTGTTTTTGGTTTTGGTTACGATTTCAATAATACGGATATAATAAAATAAATATGAATACGAAGATAGGAATTACAATAAGGCTTATCAGAATTATCAGTGTTGAGGTTATAAACATTGGCAGGTAGCAGTCCGTCCCGCCCGGCTAATGGACAAGTACCCAATTTTTTTTTGCAGGTCTGAGAGAAATATATAATGCTCAATGTAACTTTTTCGATCGTATTTCTGCCGAATAATCTTTTAGAGCCATTACTTATAACTTATACCTATTAATAGGTAATAGGTAACTTAATACCTTAAGTTAGGTAAAAGCAATCAAATTTATTGTTGCTCTTATCTTGTTGCCTTTAGGCCATTTTCAAGCGAATTTTTGATGGCCACCTTTTCTCTCGACTTTGTGCTGAAGTTATCTTACGATTAAAGTGGAGAGCAAATGGGGATTTGCCAGTTTCCAGTGCCTTATTAATTAGACAAAGTTTACCACCGACCTTCAGATTGAAAACGCCCCAATTCTGAGAATTTTTGTAAATAAAAAAAATGTAGATTATGAAGCTATTTACGAAATTTCAGCTGGATATTACTAATTTGATAAAAAAAAATGGGTTTGTACCATGGACTAGTTGTATAATATTGAGAAAACAAATAATCCGGGATGACGGTCATAAAATGACTTAAAATAGTAAAAATCTATTTTATTTTAGGTAAACGTTTCAGCCCAACTATTTAGGTCTTCATGAGGACTAGAATGAATAAGATATAAAGGATATATAAAATTGTGAATTGTCTAAAATTGGAACTGTAGATGAAACATTTCCGTTTATAATCAACACAATATGATTTCGACACTACCACACGAAGCAATTCCATTAATATTTACTGAGAAAAAGAACTATTTCCATTCCGTTTCTCGTTATTCAACTTGTTTGTTTTTTCTTGTTCATCACGATTACGAAATATGGCAAAGGGCATTTGTAAAATTTTTAAATATAAAATTATTATTATTCTTTCTTGTTCTGATTACTAGAGGTTTCGGATTATCGATACCGTCTTGTAATTACAATACATTAACCCTATACTTCTGTAGGGACGGTTTGAAAATTTTTGTGAAGAATAAATTAGATTAAACCATCAGATCTCCGATGTGTAACGGTCGGGTAAAGTTAGCTGGAGTCGAATAATTGAAGTATTTTTGCATATGGATCAAAATATCTCAAAAACTAAAAATCGGACGTGCATATTGTTAATAATCTGTATGTTCATCATTTCATCGTTTTTATAATGAGGCTATTATTAAAAATTTTATCTTAATGCGATGCCTTGTTTGAGAGGTGAAAAGGGAAAAAGGGTTTCGAAAAACAAATGACAACGAGTTTTATTGAAGATATGGACTAAAATATACTATTGTACTATTATTGTATTATTGTATATGTATATTATGTATATACGATTATACTATTATTGTATTCTTCGAACATACTATTATTACTATAACATCTTTATTATTATTTTTTTTTTCATTGATACAATGACATGACAACAAAAGTTATTTGTCGCTCATTTATAATTTCATAGCGTATTGTGTATAGCAACTATTTTGCATTATTAGGACCTTATTTCTCATATTAAGGCTTCCTATATCTGTACAGTTATGTAAATACTTCTTTTATCCCTTATTTTTTAGTTTGTTTTTTTTGTTTGTTTGTTTGTTTTTGTTTATTGTAATATACATTTTGGCCAGATGTAATGTTAATTTTATGTACAATATTGTTATTCTCAAGGGACGTAATCCCAGAATAAAGTTGATTCTTCTATTCTATTCTATTCAAAAATATCTAATAAATTAAAAATCAGACCGGCATACTGTAAGCGAGGGAATTGTTCATCATTTCATCCTCTTTATAATGAGTTATTATTTATATTTCATATTACTAATCTCGCCTTGTTAATGTTTTCACTTCTATCGTATGGTCTAAAGCACACATTTTAGTTTTTTTCATTATCTTCTTACTAATTATAAGAGGATATATATATATATATATATATATATATATATATATATATATATATATATATATATATATATATATAATATATATATATATATATATATATATATATATATATATATATATATATATATATAGGGAAAATAAAACAATTGCTGTTTGTTTCTCTAATAATTAATAATCATTTTTGTAAATGCATTGTATTTTTCCTAGATGCGCTAGTGGAGAAGCTGAGTTGGTTCTTGTAAACCACGTTAGCAATCCTTTGCTGGGGAATGCCCAGTTGCAGGACTCGTTGCATCCTGATCTTCTATTCTTCAGCTTCGTGGCTTCCAATTAACAGGTAAAAGACAAATGTAATCAACCTTGCCCATGATGAAGTCGTGACCATTATCGATTGTAGGAGTTGGATCGATATATCATCCATCATCAGGTGTACTTCCATACTTGTTTTGTGGAATATATTATTGTGAAATTAAACCGTCACATATATAAATCGATTACGAATAGTAAGTCGATTTGGGAAAAAATTGCAATATTGACCATGATTAGAAATTTCTATAACGTTTTTAAAATTTGTACACTCATATCCTTTAAGCTTAAATATATATCATAGTCTGTTATTAATCGATTTCAAAGGGTTTTATGGTAAAATTTAAATAAATCTATTTAAAAGTTGAAAAAAAAATTAAAAGTGAAATATTATTTAATTAAATAAAAATGATCCATGAAAATATTAAAACACTCGAATTCATAGAAATCTTACTAGATTGTTGATATTAAGATTTATTTCTTATTCTATAAATATACTTATATTTTTTTCATTATCATATCACATATGATAAAAATAACCTAAATATATCAATGTAAGGATGACACACGACCTTCTATTTTATAGATAAATTAAATGTTTTTACCTGACTAAGAGAAGTGACTGTGTGTTTGGGTAGTCCGCTAAAATCTATACAACGGTTTTTTAAGAGAGCGGCTGGATCGATTTTAATTTTGAATGTTCAAAATATTCATTAAGATCTCCTGAATATTTTGAAACAATTTGAGCTAAAAAAAACTGTTTCATGATTGAATAAAATGCATTTAATCAATTCGGTAAAATGTATGAATCGATTTTTTTAATGAACGTCTGGACCTATTTTTAATTTGGATATTTTAAATTATACCGTGTGGTCCTCTGACTGTTTTGAAAGCAAAGCAAAACGAAGATTAATAGTTTGTTTTTTGCTCTAAAAGGCATATACAGTATTTTATTTATATCTATTTTTAACTAATACTACAAGTGCAGGAGATTTTCGTTTAAAGTTGATTTTTTTTTTTCATTAAACTTGGTTGATGAAAATCGGTCCGAGCGTTTACTCAGAAAATCGTTACAGATTTACAAATAGTGCAAAAGCTTTACTCAAAACCCTTCTCGTAGCTTTGCCGTGGTTAGCAAAACTAAATAATAAGTATTAGTAATAATAATGAATAGAAGTAGTAATAAATGATACGTATTAAAAATATTTTTTTTTAAGCAGCTTTTCAATCATCAATCAGTTTATATTTAAATGACAGGTAATGATTCCAATAAAAATTTTTTAAAAATCCATCAAAAATGAATGTATTCTATACCACAAATAACAATCTCAGAACTATTGCAAATTTTAAAATGCGATTTTTTTTTTAAGATGAATAATTTAATTATCAAATTCCAAAAATTAACTACCTTATTTATAATTAGTTGCAATTGGTGGGGATGTTAAAGATGCAGGTACCATTGAAATTAACACTGACCTAAAAGATTTAAATTTATATCTTAAATACTCTAAATTATAAAATAATTCATTGTACATTTAGCAGAAAAATTATAAATTTATAAATCATAAATTAGTGAATAGTTTGAGTAATATAATAATAATATAGGTAGCTCAAAGGAAATACATTGGTTATTTAAAAATTTTTTGGATAAGAATATATTTTCCTTTAGGATTTCGAACTATGATAACCGAATAAATTAAATTTGAAAAATGTAATTAATTCTAAATTAAATAACCTGATAAGATGGATTGGTATATTTAAGATCTTTTCTTTATCAATTCTTATCTCTACGTTTTAAGTGGGTCGCTTCACGGTTTCTGTAATCTGAGATATACGTTTAATATTTTCATCTAAAATACTTTACTGGAATTCTCACATGTGATCCAAAGCTCATGAATTCGTCCTATGAGGGTGTTCCTCTAATCATTCGATTGACAATCAACTTATCGATAGTAGAGAAATATCGACATACGGGCAAAATGTAAAGAGGAGAATGAATGAAATAGTCAGGATGACAATACAAAGAAACATTATAAAAGTATTTAATGAATACTGAGTCTTAAAATATTTAAAATTAAATCCATATTTTTTCATGTTTGACAAATGACTCGTCAAACTGTAATCGAATATCTTTCCTCTAATCTAACCACTCCATATTCAATCAATTGGAACGCAGACGTTTTCAGAATTTCAAGTCTCATGGTGGTACTATCGTTTTGTTTTCCGTACTATATATCGTGTTCGTGTGTTTTTGTTTAAGAAAAACTATTCGACCATTGAAAAAAGAAAGTGCGTTCTTTACTTTAAAACATTTGATTTATATGAATTTTATTTGGTAATTACTTTTGTTTGCTTATTTTTTACGAATTGAAGAACAATGCCCTCTATTGACAACTGTATGAATTATGTTTCCAAAAGAAAATTGTTTCTATAGTGCTCTTGAGGTCAGTGTGTTTCATACCTTCCTATTAACCGTTTTAAGTCTAGAAGTAAGTTGAATATTTATCTTATCTTTATCTTTATCTTTATAGTTAAAAAAAGATTTTAGCATTTTTGAGGTATGTCCGTTATTGGTACCGACCTCTTTACATAACTAGAACAATTTAATTTCGGGATGTTCATCATTAGTGCCAAAAGGTGTTTTTTTTCTAAATGGAGATTATTCCTGAATGAATGCAAATGTTTTCAATTTTAAAGCGTTAAATAAAAAAAGGAGACCCTAGAGATTCTAAACGTCAAATGTATAAGTTTAATAACTATAATAATTACGGCGCCATAAGCCAAAAAAGTATATATTTCTTAGCATTCTCACTTCTCTAATAATAAGATTATAACTGTATATAAACCAGAATAGGTCATTAAAACACGTTACAGTCAAGTTAAAAAAATAATCTTCCATTATCAAATTTTTTCTGCCTACCTCATTTATCAGCCATTATATACTTAACAATTACCTTGATTTAATTATTTAATGGAAATTGATTCAAGATCATTATCTCCAAAATTTCTAATAACATTACGCCAAATCGAATAACCTATCTTTGAAATAAAGGCATTAAAGGCAAAATATGTTCGCACATGTGTTAATGAAAGAAAGGAATGGAATTTGTAATTTTCGTTCTATTTCAAATCTATTTGAACGAGCCATTTTTTATCCGTAAGTTTATCATAACACTCCTGCGCATCTAGAAGCTTCCAGTTATGTAATTATTCCGTAATATATGTAATTTGATGACATTGATATGAACCAATTGTGGCACCCAGAAAATTTCATAAAACTCGGACCCACGTCTTCATATAGATTTGAATGAAAAACAGATACGGAACCAAAGTTGTTCCTTGTCGTCCAAACGTAAAATATGCTTAGAAATGTTCAGTTATGGGTAAAATAAAAAGATTGGAATTTGATAAAAGCGATTTGGGACCATGTAGGGACCAACCTGCTTGTTCTCTGAAAATTTCTTTAAAATCAGAGTAACGATAATAGATTGTGTATTTGACTAGAGACCAACTGACAATCACGGAATAAAATTTGTTCCTTGATGATTTCGGACATAAAACGCGAGAGAAAAATTTCGATCCTTAGCACAGTTTTATTTATTTTCACCTGAATGAATAGATATAGTTTCTTGTAAAGAAAATAGTCAAAATATAATTACTTTAATTCAGTAATTTTCCCCTGGATTCTATTGAGAATTTTCACAATTTCTTTTGGACATGATTATATGATATCTTAAAGTAATGAGAGGAATAAAATTAGATATATTAAATAAAACAGTTTTCATTAATCGAATAAAAACTATTAAGTACTATAAAAGAGAAAATTATAAATCGTAATATTTGATTACAATTTACATAAACAATGATGCTACACTATGATTTATTTATGTGACAAATTTCATACCGACTGCCTAAAGTTTTTTATTCTGTACCAATAGAATAATTTTTTTATGATTTTAAAATTATTGTATACAATTTTTTAAACTTAAATTTTTAATATTTTGTTTTTGAATGATTTGATTACAATGATATATTTATTTATATTTCAATTGTTTGATGTATTTATTTCTATGTTTAATTTTTAAATACATATTTTTTTCTCGGATAATAAATAATTACATGTTAATGGATAGATTTAAAATCTTTTTATATAACCGCTATAGCAGAAGGAGATAATTTGAAAAAAAAGCTTAAACACATTTTCCATACTCAATTTTTTTTATTTTACTACTTTATTTTTCAGTAGGTAATCATTAATCAGTATTTTACATTGTTAAGCGCTTTATACAGTTAATTTATTTAACCACTATTTTTATAACTGAGTGTTTCCACAAATATTACTGTTTTTAGTCATTATTTTCTAAATATATTTATTTACAAGACAATATTTATATATAATATATGCCGCCTTAATGCAGCTCCATTGCATCTTTTAGGGTTCAATCTATCCATCTGCTTTTTTAGCATGCCATATAGTCTTTCTTTTCTACTTCATATGTTATGACTATCTTAACCTCCTCACCTTCACAGTATGAGATATTGATTGACTAGTTTCTGTAAGCAGCTCTTTATAAGCCCTTCTCCCTCATATGTTAATATTCTGATTTCAGCGCCATCTCCAGAAGATTTCTCTTTTAAATGTTTCAACACTTCTTTCTCTAAAGCATCAAACAAATAACTGTTGAGCGAGCACAATAATGGATTAGTATAAGTTCTAGGATATTTGTTTCTTATTGTTTAACTATTTTCCAATAGAAGAAGCTAATCACTAATTAAGTAACTTATTATTTTAGATTTTGTGTGTTAAATATAGTATCTTGATAATATTACGTTGTATATAAAAAGCATGATTTACTGCCGTCGTTTATACGTCCGTATATTAAAAACACTACAAATTATTTCCCAACTATTATACATCTAAAGTAACATTCATTACCTTTCTAATGGCAAATTAAAATAAATAAATGGTTAATTCTAACTATTTGCCAAAACATTTTTTTTTATCATCAGCAAGTTGATAAAAAAAAAGAG